GCTTCTGCGCAGCCAGCGCTCTACCATTGAGCTACGAGGCTCGCTCTTATTTGTCACAGAGCCGATATTCTCCCAGTGAAGCTAGGTACATTCGGAGGTAGTGAGCAGGTCGCATGTGTTAGGCGTAACAAATTGCCTAGATTTGACAGCCACTAAATCCCTACCAATATTCAGTCGTCCCGATTTGGTCCTGCCATCGAAACATGCTGAGCTGGGGACGGGAGAATGAAATCTATGCTACTGTGTGGAATAAAATGCATCGAAAAGACCCCTAAAATGCATTCCCTGATCCCTTCTTCGCGCACTTCGTGAGGCAGTGGTGCAACAGGAGAACCGTCGGTTATTAGTAAAATTCAAGCACACATAGAAACGTTTGTTCTTATAGTATTTGCCATACACGTTTCGGTGTGACCTAAAATGAGACTACCTTTTGTCATTTCTTTTGCCATTACTATTGAGATTGTTTTGAATAGGGGTGTTGGCATCCATTAAAAATCGATTTGCAGTAAAACTCTGCACGGTGGTGTGGTTTAGGCAATGGCTTTGTCTTTAGAATTGGCGTTGAATAGAGTGCTAGAAATTAGCTTATAGACTTTTAGACGTTTACTTAATCTTAAGTTTGCAAAACTCGGAATTCTAGGATAAGAACCAGAGATCATGTTGTGCTCACCAGAATGAGTTTATTCGTTCGCTGAGGTTTCGGAGAGCTGGGCTGGCTTTCCTTTGTCAGAGCGTAAACTGATTTTATAGATCAGACTCGGGCCGGCTCTCCAAAACGTCAGCGATCAAATAAACTCATTCCGGTTTCGAAGCTAGAGGGTTAGGGTTAGCGTTAGCGTTTACCTAACCGATGGTTAGATATTAAATGCTTACATACTTAAATAAATTAACAACTAATGAATAAAAATAATTCAATAAAATGTCGCAAACTAATGATAGCCATTATCGATTCATTACAGTTTCCGGAAGTTGTTTGCGAGCGATTCCTTAGAAATGTTTCTACAAAATTCCTACCACAGACCGTATTTTTAAATTAAGCGCCGCTTCGGAACTGATTCAGTTTATTTAGACACCATGCTTCATCTTTACGACTTTCCTTATTTTTACTCTACATTCTCCTTTTTTACTCCCCTTAAATGTCCCTGTTTACCACTCTTCCCACATTACCTTATCCGCTGGTTTGGGTTTTCTTAGTGGAGCCACTTTTTTAGGCCCAATCCAAGTTTTCTTTCTATTCACTTAATTTTCTCCTTCTCTCTTCTCTGCTGGCGTTCATATACTCTTTAACACCGGAATCCTTAATCGCGTTTCTACAGCATCAAAAAATTTTCTATCAGTATTCTGGGTTGAATGAAGAAAAAACCTATACGACTCTTCAATGCTTGCTATATTTGTCTTTGCTCTCAATTTTATTTGCAATTTTTTGTCCGTTTTGAATATTATTGATCTTTCTTGCTTTATAAAGGCATGTGGATTGGCATAGCTATTGGTTTCTTTGTTACCGGTTTGACGTACACATTCTTCGCTCTCCGCACTGACTGGGTACAGCAGTCCAGGAAGGTAAGTTTCCTGATCAGTTTTCACCTAAATCCATATTTCGCTCGTAATTTGTCTTGTTATTCACTTCTTTTAATTACAGGCACTGCATAATGTTCGGCAGCAGTCAACCGCTTTTGCTGGTGAGTTTTTCGCTGCTATTTTGAACCCAGCTTTCGGTTCCTTTAACGTCTTTTATTTGTTCTAATCTTATTTGGTTGGTGCTCTCATGCCAATAGTGCCCTTTTCTACTATGGAATTTCTCCTTCGTCTACTGGCATCGCTTTGAAAATATTTTGCACGGCAAACAGTGCGTAGTCTAGATTTATCCTTTAAATTCTCATTACAATGTTCCTGAATTAAGCTGAGATTATTTGCGGCAAGACAGAGTATAGTCAGTTGATCTTCCTAAGAAGAGTTAGACGCGATCGCCTGACCAACAAATGTGTCCACCTGACATGTTGGCTTCATGCCTGAAAGCATCATCAGATAGAGGTAATTCATGCGCAAAACATTACAGCGTTTATAGGATGACGACGCTATGCTACCGCATACCCACTGAAATTACCGTGTTCCACTTTCCTCAAGAATGGTTGCAGTAGCACGGTGATTGCATTCTATAACTAGTGCAGTGGTTTGTCTATGACTTACCCGTAGTTTATGCACTCCCTGGTGATGATCTTGAGCACGAATCCAAAACTTCAGGCGAATATATGCCTTGTTCCAGCTGCCTTCCGAGACTCGTATTTTGCCTGTGCCAACATTCTTCCTAAGATTTAAGTGACAATGCTGTTTCGTATGAGATATGTCTGGAGATTTGTGGCTTGGAAGGTTGCCACCAGACGGGGTATCTCTGCCCTCGTGGGAGTATTTGGAGTGGAATTCAGGCTGCAATAGCTCTTTAATGTGGCTTATATGGTACTCTCACTTATGTGAGTTCTGGGGCGTTTCCATGACGGCCTGATACATACGGTGGGGATGGGGTCGTGTGTGGCACGCGTAAGCAGGCTGCTTAGCTGTGTCAACCGCGGTGTTCGAATCCACCTCCGGTCGTTTTAACATTGGACCCCTATCGAACTCGTGTGCGGGAGGTAGGATACAATGTGACATATGCGTCACAAGTCTGCTTTACTACTAACTAATAAACGCGCAATTCACCGTCCCTGCGCTTTTGTTATGAGGCACATGGTGGTGATTGCTGCTGCCAAACTGTAAAGCCTCGAAATGGGTTGAGTCGCTTTCTAGAGTATAGATTTAGCCAGTTCGATCTAGGACTTTTTTATTTCCGGTGCGAACTTTCTTTCCATTGAGAAGCTTCGTTTTCTATCTCTCCAATTTCTCGCACCTGCCTTACATCTATAGATAACGACTTTTCGCCAGAAAACTTCAGCCGATGTATTTATTTGCCCACAGTAACCAAACTGACAGACAATCACACATAATTATTATGCTACTCGTGACAAATGAGTAATTACGCATTATTACTATTTAGAC